ATGATTGGCCTGTCATTGTCTACATCCAAGAGGGTGCTCCTCATACCAATGAGAAATATATAGTAGCCAAGAGCAATGCTGATTTAGATTATAAATTCATGTATTACAGAGGATGATGACGGAAATTATGAGCAATATTTACCTTTGACAGACATGGTCTTTCTCATCTCCGTATAGAAATGTGTCTATTCCATAGGGTAGGGTATGGTGACTTAAATGTTCTTCTGACATCCACCAGCTTGGAAGAGCTAAAACTTTCTTTTATGTGTTATATCTCTTAATCAGACAGATCTTCTTACAAGTAGTGCTTATCTCCCTTTTTCTACTTGTACTCCTGACACTTAAGTGTAATACTTAGCATTAAGTAAGCACTTAATGAAGGTTTTTTCATTGATTCATTGATTCATTTATTCTTGGATAAGATCAACACTATTGATAAATCTTTAGACAGCCTGATTAAAAAGAAGAGGGAAGAAAACCAAATTAGGAAAAAAATAATTAACAAGGTAAAGTTGAAACCCATAAGTAATAATCAATCAACAATTATTTAAGTACCTATTATGCTCTTGTCTAGGAACTGGGGATATGAAAATAAAGAATGAAACAATTCTTATATGTAAGTAAGTTACATTTTATAGGAGGACATAACAAACATAAACAAAAATATATGAAATATGAATATGAATTGAACTAAAACATATATATAAAAGTAGTTAAATACAAGATAGTTAAGAAAGAGGGCAGAGGCAGTTGGAGGGATCAAGAAAGACATTGTGTGGAAGGTGGCCCTTGAACTCTATCTTTAGGAAAGGACGTAATATATAAGGCACAGGTAAGGAAAGAGTACATTAAGGACATGTAGGTCAGCCAGTACAAATAAAAATAGTCATTACAACCTACTATACATAGTTACATGCCAAGAAATCTGAAAATTTTGGAGAAATAGAATATTGACAAAAATATGAATACATAAATTAACATAATATAAAACAGCTACTATATAATCCAATTTAGAGAATTTTGGGAAGATGGCACAATGTTAGGCCTCGTAGGATAGCACATATACTACAGTAAACACACCAAAAGGAACAATGATGAAAACCAAAGAGAAATAGTAATAATAGTTATATTAGAAAAACAATTAGATCTTTAACTTCTTTCTTGTTTATTTTTTGATAATCTCTGTCTGAAAGGGGTAGATTTAAATAGCTATCTATCATAGATTCAGTATCTCTTTCTCTCTATAACTAATTTATTATTTTTTCCATAAGAAATTCCATTCAATGCATATATGTTGTGTACCAATATTACCTCATTATCTATTGAATTCAAATCTGGCCTTAGATCCTTTTTAAGTATTTGACCCTGGAGAAATATCTTAATTGCTTTACTTCAATTTCCTTAGGAAAATTAATTTTAATAGTATTTTTTTTTCCAATTACATGTAAAAACAGTTTTTTCAACATTCATTTTTTGAAAATTTTTGAGTTCCAAATTTTTCTTCTTCCCTTCTTCCAATCCCCCTTCCCAAGATGGCAGCAATCCGATAAAGGTTATACATGTGCAATAATATAAAACACATTTCCACAATTAGTCATGTTGTGAAAGAAGAAATGGAAAAAAGGGGAAAAATGGCAAAAACTAAAGAAATGAAAACAGTATTCTTTGATCTACATTCAGACTCCTTCAGTTCTTTCTCTGGATGTGGATAGCATTTTCCATCATGAGACTTTTGGAATTGTCTTAGATCATTGAATTACTGAGAAGAACTAAGTCTATCATAGTTGATCATTGCACAGTGTTACTGTTACTGTGTACAATGTTCTTCTGGTTCTGCTCATTTCATTTAGCATCAATTCATGTTAGTCTTTCCAGGTTTTTCTGAAATACCCCTGCTCATCATTTCTTATGGCATACTAGTATTCCATTACATTCATACATCATAATTTATTTAGCCATTCCCCAAATGATGGGCATACCCTCAACTTCCAATTCTTGGCCACCAGAAAAAGAGCTGCTATGAATAATTTTGTACATGGAGGTCTTTTTTCCCATTTTTATGATCTCTTTGGGATACAGACCTAGAAGTGGTATTGCTGGATCAAAGGTTATGCAGTTTTATAGCCCTTTGGGTATAGCTCCAAATTGCTCTCCAGAATGGTTGGATAAATTCACAACTACACCAATAATGAATTACCTACTTTTTCTTTATAAAGAAGAAGAGGATTGTGGAATGAGTGTATGCTCAGGACCAATGTTGAATTCTTAATGCAATCAGCTTCCACATCCCTGCTCTTCTCTTCCCCTTACACTGATCACAGGCCCTTCAAATTAATTTCATGTCTTTTAAGCCCTAATCTACCATCTACCCCCACATTTAGGGCTTATTTTCATTATGATTAATTCTTCTTTGAATCTCTATTTCTTTGCATATATATACATATATGTATATATACATACATATATATATGTGTATATATATATATATATATATATATATATATATATATATATACATATATTCTCTCTCTCACTCACTTTCATTTGACAGGTTCAAATGAAAGAGAGGTCCAAGTGATATCTACTCCCCTCACTCTATCCTTATTTTTATAGGATTTTATGTTATGTCCTCATGTGAAATAATAAGTGCATAAACAGTGCCTCCAATTTCTTCCCTAACATATCATTTTCCACCCCTGTTCCCCCACCGCCTGCCACACACATATCCTTTCACAATCATCAAACCATACTTTCAGGCCCTCTCTCTTATTTGACTTCCTTTAAGACCCTTGATGACATTGAAGTTCTGAGGGGATACTGTATTATCTCACCTATCCCAATAGAATGAAACTTCATCTTTACAAAACCCCTCCAATGGCTCCCTTGCATCAACCTTTTGTTGTTTTTTTTGACTCCCTGTTTGTATTTCAAAAGTTTCTACTGAGCCATAGCTTTTTTATTAACAATGTTTGGAAGCCCTCTATTTTGTGTTCCTCACTTATTCCAAAAGAATTTTATTATTTTTTTTTTACTGAGTTAATTGTTCTTTTTTTAAAATAATACTCCATGATATCATTTTAAACTCTTACAATTCCTGCTTCATTTCTTCTAGGAATTCTAATTGATCTTGTGACCAGCTAGATTTTTCCTGTAAGTTCTTGCTTGTGGGTATTTTATAGTTTTTTTTTCCCTTATGGGGTCATGTTTTAGGCATCTCTGAAATTATAATATCTCTATCTTCTTTCACTTGTTTTCTCATTCTTCCAACTTTCCCAAATTGTGAGTTTGTGTACTTCATTATTCTGGTTGTGTACTGGTTGTCCTGGTATGTAGTGATGTAGTTTTGGACTTTCTATGCTTTCCTGATGACATTCTTTTTCTCTAGGCACTAGTATTGTGTTCTTCAAAGATCATAGTGCTGTCTCGGGCAAGGAGTCTCAAACTTCCAGTGGACCCCATATAAATGAAAGAAGGGCATGATTTGATTTCTGATTTCCTGAGCTTTTCAGGTTCTAGACCCTGAGTTGAGTTAGGTGATACAGTTGCAGCCTTGCCCCTGGGTGGAGCAGACCTCAGCCTCTTCGCTTGGGGAGGGAGGGTGGGGATGAGACCATCAGAGGAGGCGACACATTGTTTCCACTGAGGACAAGGAATCAGATGACTGTTGGGAAATCCCGGCTGTGCGTGCCTGGAATCCAAAACCCAGAGCCAGGCTCATTCTCCAAGATTCTTTCACCTTCGGGGGAGTGGCAAGAGAAGGATAGGGAGCTGGGGTCTTGGGGGGTTAGATAGGCTGGGAAGCGGGGCATGGGGGAGCAGCCAAGGCTTCTGTCTATGTGGCTCACAAACGGAGGGACTGGGAGCTTGAAACTATGAGTGAGGATGGAGAGCTGGAAAGGATCTCAGGGCTCATCTTTTCCGACTCCCATTTTTTTTTAACAGATGAGGAAACTGAGCCACAAAGAGGCTAGGATATTTTCACCAAGGTCACCCGGGGAGTAAGCAGCTGAAACGGATATTTGAACCTCTGATTCCAAATACAGTACATTCTTTACTGTCCTACTGAAAGCAGGACCTGCAGCTCACTCCACAGAGCTAAGTTCTATACCAACAATGAGATGAAGAGAGCTCGAGGAGGAGGCTGAAGGAGCCTAGAGGAGGCCACCCTGCGTGGAAAGGGTTAGCAGGCTGGCTCAAAGGTAAGAGGAGCAATGTAGGCCAGAAAAACGCGAGTTCGAATCCTTCCTTAGACAGTTACCGTCTGCATGATTTCACAAGCCACTTAATTTCTCTCAGCCTCAGTTTTCCCATCTGTAAAATGAGAGGGTTAAAGTTAATGACCTCTGAGGTCTCTTCCAGCTCTAAATTTGTGAGCTATGATCTAGAGAACAGTAAAGTGAGATATTTCATGCTCCCCACTGGCCCATGTGTCACTGTCTCCTCCCCAAGCTAGAAGGAACCTTAGAGATCCCTTAATCTAGAACCCTTGACTGTCCCTCCTCACCCCCACTTCCCAAGCCTTTGTCCCCTTCATCTTAATGGTGCCAAGTTGTCACTTGTAGTGTCCTGGCCTGCCATCTTCTCACCTAACACACACACACACACACACACACACACACACCTCCCTCCACTTCAAGCTCTGACAAATTGAGAGGCAGTGTAGTGTCATGGAAAGAACACCAGATTAGGAGTCGAGACCTGGTTCTGAATTTTGTCCCTGCTACTTCTTAGCTGTGTGACCTTAGACAAGTCACTTTTCCTTTCAGGGCCTCAGAATCATCACTGGTAAAATGAGGAAACAGGAATAGACTGTCTCTTCCACTTCCACTTTTAAACCTATGCAATCTCCCTGTCCACCCCGCCCCGCCCCCAATCCTTGCCTATTTCTCTCCTGCTGTCCTCCTAGTCCCTTAGCCATCTCCTCCACCTCCCTCCCTTGGGGGGAAACCCCCTAGCCCATTTCCACCCCCCTCCCTGGACTCAGCTTCTATTTCTGCCCCTTTGACAAGTTGTAACATATTTAGGAGCAGCTGCTGCCTGGATGAAGATGCCTTTGCCTCCCTCCCCCCTCCAAGCCCTCCTGGACTGCCCCCTCCTCACTCTCCACAACCACTCCCCCTCCCTGGAATGTTCCCTGGGCCCCTCCCCAATCTTTCCTCACCCAAGGCTAAGACCAGTTGTGTCTCCTGGTCACCACCACATGGCTGGCAGCCTGGGCTTACCCAATAGTAGAGTACTGGAGACTTGCTTTTAAATCCTTTTGCCACTATAGACAAGTCATTTAACAGCTCTGAGACTCAGTTTCCTTATCTGTAAATTGGTTATGGTTGTATCTCCTCCACTTGCCCCATAGGGTAATTGTGAGCATACCGGGTAGCGAAGCTGCTTGTTTTGTGAACTGTAAAATATGAGTGACCATTTATTATTCTTATGAGAGGTGCCAAGGGCATCTGGGGTGTGGGGGCCCATGGAGTAGTCATCAGGCCCCAAACCTGTACTTCCTGTGTGAGCCCCTTTTCTTAGGTGCATAAGGAAGGATTGCACTCTAGGGCCCCACCTTGGCATAAACCAGATAGGGCTTCAATCAAGCTAGGTACCCCAGGGGAGTTGGTTGAATCCTGCTTCCTCTAAGTTCTGCATCTCTTGGCTCTCCTCACCCCACCGGCTATCTCCAGCCCCATCGGTCAGTTGATGAGTATCTCTGGTTATACCACTTATTGGCTTTGTGACCTTGGACAGATCACTTCACCTCTGAGTCTCAGGATCTTCATTTATAAAATGAGTGCGTTAGACTAGAGGATCTCTGTGGTTCTTTCTAACACTAACAGTCTACCAGCTATGGTCCCAGAGGTCCCTCCTCAAGCATATTTAGCTCTGTTCCCCTGGCCTCATTCCCTCCCACCCTACTACCAGCTGTCTTCTTGTGACCCTCTATTGCCTTTCATATCCAGTTTGATCCCCTAATCCAGGCCTTCAAAGTTCCTCTCCCCAACTGTCCCCTTCCCCAAACTGCCCTCATGTCCCATGATTTTCTGGCAAACTCACTACTGCACCTCTCTTCTCTCCTTTCTGTCTCTGGATCTCCCTGCCCTTTACATAACCCACTCCTTCTCTGCTAAGCCCTATCCTTCTCATCCTTGAAAAGCCTGCTAAACACCTCCCTCCCCTGGGAAGCTTTCTGAAATCTACCTGCTTCTGTTCATTCCATTTCCTACAGGTTGGGGCTCCTTCCTTTTCCACCCTCCCTGCTGTCTTTAAGACCATAATTTAGCACGGTGGTTCCTGGTTTTTGTTACTGTATGCCTGTATGTCCAGTGTCTCTCAGTCAGAAGTCTCTTCAGCAACCCCATCTCCTCCATCAATTCAATTCATTCTAACATCTGTTAATTGAGACCCTGTACTTGAAGTTATGGGGAATATAAAGATGAATAAGTCATGTTCTTTGTCCTCAAGAAGCTTATACTCTTGAAGGGAGGTGAATTATACTTATTCACAAATAAGTATAATACAAGGCAGAATGTGATGGGTTCCAAAAGAGAAATACCAAGAGCATGCTATAGTATTGAAGAGGTCTAGAGGTTTTGGGGTGCTGGGACCCCCCAGATTGCGACGCAGGCTTGTCTGAAAGAATTCAACCCAAATCTTCCAGCCAGAAAAATAGTTTATTAAAGATGAAGCATATAGGCCAGACTCTCAAGGAACCCAAACATCAGTAACACCCATAGGGAGCAGCGGGCATAAGAAAACCTCAGCCTCTAGGCAAGAGAGGTTCTCAGCATCTGAATGGGGGCTAAGGTGGATCTTAAATACAGGTGACACCCATAAGGAAGAGCAGGCATGAGACAGTCTCAGCCTTTTGGGCATGAGAAAAGCTCAGCGTTTAAATGGGGCCCAAAGTGAATCTTTTATACACTGAAGTAACTTTGGGTGGCCAGAGGAAGGGGGGTGTGGTTGAAAAAAGAGTCTAGGTGAGAATTCCTTTTGGAAGGTCTGAGAGATTTGAATAAACAATGAGAATAGATAATGAAGGGAACTGAAAGGTAGAAGTTTGCTTTCAAAGGGAAATAAAGAGAGTAGATAAGGAACCTAAAAGTTTAAGGGTTTTCTGGAACAAACTTCTTTTTAGGGCTAGGGGCAAAGGTGCATTTGAATAAGATCAAAAAGCGAGGCTAAGGCTTTGGAAGGGAGATAAGGGGAGTCAACAAATGGGAGCCAAATTCCTTTTGGTGAAAAGGGGCAAAGGTCTGGAAACTGGATGGTGGGCACATAACCCCATCATTATTAGTGTTCAAAAGAGGGAAATGATTGGGGCATGGTGAGAATCAGAGGAGGTTTTACAGAGAGTTGGCATTTGAACTGCGCCTTAAAGGAGGGTAGAATTTCAACTGGAAGAGCTGGGGGAAGGAAGATATTCCCAATAGAAGGAATGGAATGAACAAGATTCTGGAGGCAAGACAGCATGAGATGTGTTCAGAAAACAGTGATTATTTGTCTGGTTGGTCTGGAGCATAAGGTTAGGGAAGGGGGCAATGTGGAAAAAGGCTAGAGCTTGATGGTAAAGGGTCTTGAATGTCAGGCTAAGGAGTTTAGACTCCATTCCATGAACAATGGAGTACTCTGCAAAGGCAGATGACACATATCTGTCAGGCCCAGCCTGGCTCAGCACCATAGAGTCATAGCTGGAAGGGAGCTCTGGGGCCATCTAGCTCAACCCGCATCTAAATGAGAATCTACTCTAAAATTTATCCAGCTTTTCTTCTATTAAGGGGGACTCCACCACCTCCTCCTGAGGCAGTTCATTCCTCTGTTGGATAGCTTTACTCTAGCCTAAATTTGTGTTTCTTTGTACTGGCTGTCTGCCATCCTGAACACGGCCACCTGCCTGTCTCAATATGAACTCTCCATCTTGGATTTTAAGATAGAGAAGAGTATAGTCAGAATGAGTCTAATATTGTAGATTTTAGGAAAGCAGTTTTCAAAGCATTCTGTAAAGTATAGGTAGGATCCCATAGACTAAAGTTCTATAGAGGAAGTCAACCAAGGGAGGAATGGGAAGATTTCAAAAACGAAATTCTAAAGAAACACTTCTAATGAGGAAGAAAAGGGGGAGTTGTCTAAAGAGACCAATGTGAATTCACAAGAGATCATCAGCCAACTTGAATTTTTTAAAAGTTACATCCTCAATAAGGAAACAGGATCAGGTAACAGACCATGGTATGATCCTGTGAGATACTGTTGGAGGTACAAATGATTAGAATGAGCCGAAGCTGGTGAAGTAACCCGAGGACAGCAAAGAAAACCTGTATGGGAAAAAGAGGAAGATCTGATGGTGGAGGACAATGGTGAGAGAGGACAGAAGAAAGGCAGAGCTGCTCAATTATTACTTCACTTCTGTTTTCCTTGACAGAGGGAATGGAAAGGACAGTACAAAAATGACCAATAGGAAATTGATGCCCAAAATAAATGAGAATATTGTAGGAGAACACCTAACTGTCCTTGATGAATTCAAATGAACCAGTCTCAGATGAACAGAAAGATCTAATAGAAGGGATGGCTGAGCCTCTGTTAATCATCTTTGAAAGAGTGTGGAGAATGGGAGAGGGAACCCAGGACTAAAGAATGGCAGATGTTTTCCCAATTTAAGGAAGAGGAGAGAATAGAATCTGCAGATGTGTTGAGTGAGTTTGACAATTCCCAGCGAAATGCTGCAAAGTGGGTTGGTTAACAGACATCTGAGAGGCAATGATATGTAGTGGCTAGAGCGCTGGACCTGGCTTTGAATCCTTTTACCAGCATTAGCTGAGTGATAATGGGTCAACTCACCTTGAACCTCTAAGTCTCAGTTTTCTTATCTGCAAAATGCAGATAATAATACCTGCAGGACCTACCTCCCAACGATATAGTGAAGGTCACATGAGATAATAGATGCAAAATGCTTTGCAAACTATAAGTGTGCAAACCGTATAGAAAAGCTATACAAGGGTCAGTTATTTTTATTATCTAGAAAAGGAAGTGGTGATCACATAGATCCAACGTGTTTTTATATAGAGTAAGTCATGTCAGAGTAATCATATTTTCTCTTTTAACAGGGTTATTATGTGGTGTATCAGGGAAATCCTATAGATTACTTTACCTGGGATTTTTGTTGTTGTAGTTTAGTCCTTTCAGTCATGTTCAACTCTTCATGACCCCATTTGGGATTTTCTCAGCAAAGATAGTGGAATGGTGTGCCATTTCTTTTTCCAGCTCATTTTACAGAAGAAGAAACCGAGGCAAACAGGATTAAGTGACTCACCCAGGGTCATCCAGATAGTAGGTGTCTGAGGCCAGATTTGAACTTAGGAAAATGAGTCTTTCTGACTCCAGACCTGACTCTCTATCCATTGTGACACCTAGCTGCCCCAACCTAGATTTTACCAAAGCCTTATATATAGTCTCTCATGTAATTTTTATTGCAAAAAGGGAGAGACTTGGGCTAGACAACAATACAATTAGGTGAATTTGACAGTGAGTTAATGGATGGTTCATAGTTATTAATGATTTGACGTTGCATGATGTTTAATAGCAAGCCCCAGGGATTTGTGCTTGGCACTTAGCTATTTAACATCTTTATTAATGACCTGTATAAGGTCATAGTTGGCATGACTATCAAATCTGCAGACACACAAAGTTGGGAGAGATTATAAACATGGAATAATAGAGTCATTCAACCCAGCAAGCTAATAGATGAATTCAATTTTAGGCTGCATTGGGGGTTATAGTGTCCAGGACTATGGAGATGTTAGTTTTGATGTGCTCTGACTTAAGCAGATCACATCCAGTGTATCATCCTGACACTACATTTTAGGGAAAAACATTCACAATCTGGAGAAAATCTAGAAAGCAAATCAGGATGGTGGAGGTTGTCAATATGATGCCTAGTTCCTCTTTTTTTTTTGCTTTCCCAATATCTCTTTTAAAAATAATTAATTAATTTTTAGTTTTCAACATTCACTTCGATAAGATTTTGAATTTTAAATTTTCTCCCTCTCCCTCTCCTCCCCCTACAAGATGGCATGCAATCTGATATAGGCTCTACTTATACATTCATATTTTCATATTCATATAAACATATTTTCCCATTAGTCATGATGTAAAGAACAATTAGAACTAATGGGAGGAACCACGAGAATGAAGCAATAAAACGCAACAGCAAAGGAAAAGGAGTGCAAATAGTATGCTTCCATCTG